GTAAGCCCCTTTGTTTAGCACACATTTTAGCAGCGTGTATTCTACTCAAGGACAAATAAACCTGAATTCCATGTGGACCAAATAACTTGGAAGAGTTTCATGATCACAGAGCACACAGTCATTTTATAAAAGCCTCTACCTCACACCAGGATTCCCAAGGGCTCCTCATGGGACAAGAAATGTATTTTCAGCCTAGATGTCTCCTCTTCGTACAGACCATCCCTCACCATCCAACCTCCAGTGGCCCCCTATCACAGAACGCCGAGGTATTTACTCACTATAGGAAACATGTGTGTCGTCTGTACCCCACCAGAAGGCACGCTCTGTGAAGGCAGAGTCCTTGCTCATCACAGTGTCCCAGTCTGGTTTAGGATAAGTGCATGTGGGCATGTATCCTTCCAATACAACCATCAGGCTGGGTTTCAATAGTGGCTTCGCTACTTACTCGCTGGGTGAATTAAACAAATGACTTAAATACAAGGAACTCCTCAGTGCTTATCCTGAGATAAAAGTGTGTATCTCACTAGTTGTTATAGTGGTCAAATGAGATAGATGTGTGCAATGTGCTTAGAACAGGACCTTAACGCACAGTAGTTATCACTATGTCCATAGACCATATTATTTAAAAAAGAGTCATGAAGGTATATAATATTAAAGTTGAAACAAAGGGTCCTAATTCAATCACATAAGGTAAATTTTTAAATGAATGAAAATCGGGTTCTTCCTGTTGGCTACACAAAGTTATTCATTTTTATAAAGGATCCCTAATTCAACCTGTGTGATAACTCCCTGTTATAATAAATGATCCTTCAAGATGGCCTCCTCCACCCAACCCCTGGGTATCCATTTGGAAAATGCTATCTTTCTGTGAACACTTGTGATCAGAATTTCAAAGTAGAATTTTAAACACGTTTTACAACTACGTAGGTAGTGGCAACGTTTTCCATTTGTGTCATCCAGGAAGGTGCTACTTTCTGTTTCTTGGGCTACTGAGTGGCTTTGGCTGTAGGCATCCTGAGGGTTTTCAGAAAATCACAGCTCTTGGAGGGCTAGGAATCTCACTGGGAGGAGAGAGAGGCCGCCTTTCCTTTATTACTCCTCGATTCTCCCGCAGTAAATAAATGTTCATACAAAACCCAAATTTCCCCACGTACTGCTGGCTCAAGCAAAGGAGCAGCGACTAGCCCCTGGCTGTTTGTCGCTGGCTGGGAAGGAAGACCCACTCATTTGCCTAATTCAGCCCAGCTCGCTCTCTCGTGCGCTCTCTCTATCTCTCCTCCTCCTCCTCCTCCTCCTCCTTGTTAGTCTTCACCCAAGGATTTTCCCCATTGGTTTTTTTAGAGAGAGTAGGGGGCGGGGAATAAACATCAATGCGAGAGACACATCAATTGGATGCATCCTGCACACGCCCAGGACTGCAGGCACGCCGAGGCTGTTCTCTCCGGAGCACAT